CTCAATCAGGCGGCTACGATGTGCTGATGATTGCTCACGACGTTTTTTCTGTCGTTCTGTTTCTGGGCGTTTGTAACGAACACGAATCGGAGATGGATTCCTCGAGCCATCTTCTTCTTCATCCTCTTCTGCAGAGTCGGTCATCTCTTCTACAAAGACAATATTACGTTTTTTTCTAAAAACAAAAAAATGCTCGCAAGGGAAGAACTGGTGCTCCGTGAGGTCCTAGGTATTTCTGCACACAAAATTCGGTACCCTTAAAAATAATCAAGTTCAAGTGCAACTTCTGCATAGTCCGACCAATGTTTACAGCTAAGGGATGAAACACAGATGGCTGCATCGTAAAATGTCTTTTTGTACATGACAGCTAGGTCGAATCCTTCTACTCTACTATTCTTTTACAGACGAAAAGTGTTCTAGAAGAGCACAGGAAAATCGCTAACATGTGAGCCAATGTGGACCAGTACAAATTTTGGACGAGATGCTAAAAATCTACTAGTATAGTGGCAAAATCGCCAGCAGTGACGAACACCTGAATACTAGGTGATTTCAGCCAAAGGAATTAACGCAAAATCTATCAAATGCACTACAATTAAACGATAGCCGATCAAAGTATCGAAATTATACTTTCCAAAACATATCCAACAAAAGAATTTATGACCATCTGCAAAATAAGAATAAAAAAAAAGTTAAAAGTCGTAGTTCTAAGAAAAAATACCTTCGGAAGTTTTAGTTGCTTGTGCTTTTCCTTGATTATTCATATATGAAATGGACCGATTCATATTGAAAGTTCCCTTCACCGGACAAACATACAAACGTTCTGCAATAAAAACCCCGATTTTAATCGTAGTGAAAATTTGATTTTACAAATTCCCAGGGCAGACTCAAACCAGTTTTCCAGGCATAATGGGAAAAAATAAACCCAAAAATCCGTCCTTGCAATTTTATTTGACGCATAAGTGCAGCTACGAAGAGAGATACGTTCAATTGAGTACCATTCAAAGTGGTGGCCCACATACGTCAAAAAAAAAAAAAAACCGCTGCTTTTTCAAGATCGAAGGACCAAGCAGAGCTGCGTCCGGCGTTGTTTGACACCATCCCAGTAATACACTAACAAAGGACTTCTGTCGTGTCAAAACACGAAAAGTGATAGATAAAATTTGTTCTAGAATTTTTCATTTTGTTCTTTTGTGTGTATATAAGTTGGGCTGGTCATGTAGAAAAAGAAGAAAAAAAAGTTGGGCTGATCATGTAGCAAGGATGTCAGACAACCGATGGACGAAGCGGATAATGGAGTGGTAGCCACTCGCGATGAAACGAACACTGGGGAGGCCCCCAGCATGATGGCGAGCTCCAATCGTGCGCCTTTATGGTGTCACCTGGTCTCGTCAGGCTCAGGATCGATCGAAATGGAGAAG